GTGTCGTGTGTCGTGTGTGTGTGTGTGTGTGTGTGTGTGTGTGTGTGTGTGTGTGTGTGTGTGTGTGTGTGTGTGTGTGTGTCTGCGTGTGTCTGCGTGTGTCTGCGTGTGTGTGTGTGTGTGTCTGTGTCTGTGTCTGTGTGCATTTCTCACCAAGTGTGCAGAAGCTACACCCTCATCCAAACCCTCCCCATGTGACATCACCCCCCCCCCCCTCGGCAGCGAGTGGATGGGCTATGCCCTGCTCTACGAATCCATGCTCAACACAGTCCTCGTCGCCCGCGACAGATTCCTGGTCCGTTGCTGCTGTGTCTGTCTGTGTGTGTGTCTGTGTATGTGTCTGTGTATGTGTCTGTCTGTCCTTGTCTGCCTCTGTCAGTCTCTGTCTGTCTCTCTGTTTGCCTTTGTGGACGGGTTAGTTTCCGTGCGTGCACTGGCTGTTTCATCGTGCCACCAGTCCCAGCCACTCACCTCGTCCACCATTCACCCCCCCCCCTTCCATCAACACCATTCATCCATTCATCACCGCCGCCGCGATTAGAAAGAGGACGGGATTCTGCTGCCGGACCGTGCCACCATTGTGCTCTCCGCAATCGAGGACGAGTCGTACAAGGCCGACAAAGTTGACTGTACGTCTTGGGCGTTGGTCGCGTGTCTGTGCGACTGTGTCTCGCATGCATGCACGACCAACCATGTGTTGTTGTGTTTGTGTGAGCGTGCCGTGATAGTTGCTACTGCGCTCTCGCCTGACCCCTCTTCTGCCAACGCTCACGCACGGCCACGTACGCATATGCGCAGGGTGGAGCAACGTGTACGGGTTTGACATGTCGTGCATGAAGAAGATGGTGATCCGCGAGCCGCTGGTCGATGTTGTCGACCGCCACCAGACCGTCACGGGCACAGAGGCCATCTTTGTACGTCGCCTGTTTGTATGTGTGTGTGTGTGTGTGTGTGTGTGTGCGTGCGTGCGTGTGTGTGTCTGTGTGTCTCTGTGTATCTGTGCCTGTCAATCTGTGTGTGTCCGTATATCTGTGTCTGTGCCTGTGTCTTCAGACGCCTCGATGCCCACCAACCGCACACGCCACCATGTCCCCCCCCACGTGTATCAGGACATTGATGTGGCGACGGTGACAGAGGCGGAGCTGTCGTACGAAGTTCCATTCACGCTCACGTGCAAGCGCGACGACTACGTCCATGGTGCGGCGCATGGCATCACACGCGACATGCGATGCACACCATCGTGTACAGATGAAACACTCTCATTCACGTGCTTGTGCACACATGCATGCTCATATTCGCTTACCCACCCCCTCCTCCACCGCCACATCCGTTCCCCCCCCCTCCTGAAAACACACGTACACACCACAACAGCGCTTGTCATGCACTTTGACATTGACTTTTCCAAGTGCCACAAGCGTGTGTGGTTTTCGACTGGGGCGCACTCGTACTACACCCACTGGAAGCAGACTGTCTTCTACCTGCAGCAGGTCCTCGCCGTCAAGGTGCGGTGGCCCGGCACATGTGGTCTCTGTTTGGTTGTCGTCGTCGTCGTTGTTGTTGTTGTTGTTGTTGTTGTTGTTGTTGTTGTTGTTGTTGTTGTTGTTGTTGTTGTTGTTGTTGTTGTTGTTGTTGTTGTTGTTGTTGTTGTTGTTGTTGTTGTTGTTG